TTTAATGACTCCTGAACACGAAAGGGTTAAACAATGGGGCTAGTGTCCTGATGTTGCTTACCCGTATAACTGGGAGGTGGGGGTCCCCATTGTGTTACAAGACAGAAGTAAGCTACAGGGGGTAAAAGTGGAAAACTTTTTTTGATTACAATATCACTTCTATATGTTCTGTTTTATAGAAGAAACAGATTTATAAAGAAAAACGCACCTTTTAACAATAAATATTTTGTAACATAATGTTCTTTAACATTCTTGCCTTCATTAAAATCTGTCCTGCTGTGAGGAGATCAGCATTACCCCTCCTGGCCACCCTTCCGACCAGACATGTGAAACACATTCACATCATCTGGGTGGAACAGCCTGCTTGGTGCCCCGCAGTTGGCATTAGCTGCTCCTAGCCTGTTCTCATTTAATCGGTCGGTCCAGGCCAGTGGCTTTGCAAGACTGGCTGAAACGCTCTTATCAGACAGATACTGTCATATATGGAAGTAATTATTTCATGTTGAAAGAACTTTGTCAGTTTGTATAATTCTGCGTTTTCCTTTGGGAAGGGTGTAAGCGTAGAGAACTCGCATTCCAGATGTATCATCTCATAAATATTTGTTTGGCTACATGTGAGCAAGTATATCATTCGGCATTGAAATGCATTGTGGGCTCAGATAAATAGTGAATCTTGCGCTGTAATTACCTTAAATAAATGTTTCACTTGTTTATGATGTGTGATCAATTAATGCACGCTTTGCCGTTCACCAGGGTTCTATTAATTCTTGCTGGTTGCATACTTGTTATTACTTTGTAAACACATGACAAAGCAATTCTTATATTTAGTAGCAGAAATGATTAAAGAGGAAGCTGTTAAAAAAAAAAACAACACTTGCACCTACATACATCTGGGTATTTTATTTCTGTTAAAGCTGAACTCCAGACAAGCTGCAAAATGCACACATGAAATACATATATGGGAAGTGTTTTACCTTAATTTTTTACAGCCAGTTTTGTCATCCAGTTTTCCCTGTCAGACAAAACAGCCAGGTCTCTGACCTCCACTGCATACACTGCATGTTCATTGTATGTATGTTTTATGTGTGGTTTTTTTTCAGTAGGGAATTTCCCATTGGTGTTCAGTGGAGGGGCACTAGTCTTTAGTGGCGGGGCACTGCGTTGGTGTTCAGTGCGGTGGCATTGGTATTCAGGGGGGGCACTAGT